CTATATAATTTTATATAAATATATATTATATAATAAATATAAAATACAGTATATTATATATTATAGTATGTTATAAATATTATAAAATATAATAAATATTTATAATATTATATATTATATTATTTTATGTAAATATATAATAATAAAATAAATAAAAAGTACATTATTATAATATATATTTTATAAATTTATGTAATCTAATATATTTTATTATATAATATACATTTATATATTATATGTTTATGTAATATATGATATTTTCATATATATATATTAAAAATAAATATAAAATACAGTATATCATATATTATAGTATGTTATAAATATTATATATTTATATTTAAATTATTATCAATATAAATATAAATATAAGATATTTACCATATATCTCAGGAGTTATCAAACACAGAAACTATGAAGGTTATCAAACACAGAAACCATGAACTTCTTAAGTAACTTCTAATTTACAGTTCTTCAGGAACTTCCAAGTTACAGTTCATGAACTTGCTTCCAGTTATTAAATAGGCCCTTAGAGATAATTAGTACTTCTAATAAAAAATATGACTTGGTCAAATATTGCAGTAACTAAGAAAATCACTAAGTCTTAAAACAAACCAAAATATTTCAACTAAGAAAATATTTTATAACTAAAAATAAATCTTTTCTTTATTTAAAAAAAGTGGCACATAAAAGTGACTGTCCCACTTAATGGGATGTGTGGGCCAAAATGGGCTCCACATGGTGCCCTTATGTTGGCCGCACATGTGGGGTTGGGCCCGTAGCCCCTCCCACATAGGTCCCACAAAGAAAATACAAAATTTCAAAAATGTCGTTGTAATTTTAATATTCAAGAAACACTTTTTTAGGGTTTTACACATTAAAATTTTCGTTTTTAAAATTTTGAAAAATTCTCCAAAAACACGATAACAAATTTTTAGTTGAAAACATTATTTCTGAAGTTCCATAAAAATCCAAAATATATAGAAATACAACTTAGCAGTGGATCGGTACCTTATGTGTAAGAAAATGTGAATAATAAGGCACTCAACCCGTGCCAAGATTCGCGATCCACTATTGTCGTTTGAAACTACCACAATAGGGACCCATGACTCATAGTCAAGTGACGGGGCTAATGATTGGCCCATCAAAGTTAGCCAATAAATAGTCGAACCACAATCCCACTAAGTAAATTACAAAATCTGTCCCCTAAGAGCAAGTCAAAATGCACACGTAATTGAAAAGGGGGGCACTCTCTCTATGCACATGTACACGTGTCCCTTTATATAGGGTTGCTTCCAAAAAATGCGGCTGTCATATGTACGTACTATGCGAAAGTTTTTTTGAGGATATGACCCTTGCTCTCATTAACCCTTTCTTTCATATCTAGGAGATTACACAACTCTCATGGTCTACAAACAACGTCCTTGGAAATCTCTCTGACCTCAATAAAGAGATGTCCCTCAATAAACCCTCAACGGTAGTGCCATATGCCCAAAGGCAAGGATTTGGACATGACCCAGGCCATAGATTTCCCAACCTAGGTCAGTCAGCCATAAATACACTCCCACTGAAGTGCACAATCCACTATGAATAATTTTATTTATATCCTCTCTAGGACTTTAAAGGCGACAAACCCCAACTCTAAATTTGATTTATTGAACCTATTGATCATTTCCATAGCTACTTTCATAACTACTTAAATGTTTTAAGTATTTCTCTTTCAGTATTTTCATTATGTAGCTTTTGTAACTGTGCCCTTTTCAAGTGATAATCCTCCCTATGATGACATAGAGTGAATTCCCCTTACTACCTTTCTCAAAGAGTCCATACATATTCTTATCCCATTAATGTCCTCTTATTACATTGTTCATGTTCATGGAAATTTTTTATTGCACTATACTCTTAGTTGTAGTATTTCTTTCTCATGGCTTTTCCTTAAAATTCCTATTGAATCCACAAATTGACGGTTGATATTTGTGTTTGAAGGCTCGATTGCATGAGATCGTAACCTCAGAAGCAAGAGCTGTTAATCAAAACGGGTATAGTGAATGTCCTTGGATGATTGATGGTGCTGGACTTCCTCCAAATGCCTTAGAGCTTCTACCAAGAATGGTTGGCTTGCTTCCTTTTCAAACCATAGTAGTTATGAACTCGTCTTTTCATTTATGTTATTGTTACAGTTACATGCACATGAGCATAAACACCCACAGACAAATGTTCATTGAGATTAACATGTACACACCCAATAAGGGTTCCCAATTCCTAAAATGTTCGAAATATTTTATTGTAGTAAGTTTTCCCTATAGAAAATATACCAAACAATAAACAAAAGCTATAGGAAAAGTAATGTTGTTCATTGGGTTGCTTGTGATACTTTCTACGAAGGGAAGTTGATTTTAAAAATATGTTGTTTCCTAGAGGTCAGCATCAAGAAATGAGAACTACAAAGGTTGATCAGCTGTACGGCTTGCTGATATCTTTCTGCTCTATCACCGCGCATGCTTGTATCTGTTGCATATCTTTTAATGGGCAGCTGCCACTACCATTAATCCAAAAATTATATTCAATCTGGAATATCCTTCTTACTAAGACACTAATCCTCTCTGAGTCAGTTCTGAAAATCTAATTCAGTGTGGTCAGAAAAGTGGGGACCCATATGGTTTTCTGTGGTTACCGTTGCTCCCAGGCATTTGCTCTGCAGGAACCAGAACATGACAAATATTTGTGGAGAGATTTTATTGCATTTATCAAATGTAGCTATATTTGAGCAACTTTTAGGCTTTTAGCAGAATTCCTAAAGAAGAAGCTGTGTTATCTAACACTTAAGAAATACCCAATTGATACAATTTTCCATATTTATATGTACATCAGAAGGTAGCAGAACACTGCACAATATTTGCTGTTTCCTGTACATTTGTTAAAAAATATGAAAGGCATTTGAAGACTGATAAAATTCATGATTTGGATTGTTTGTTTGTAGAAATGAAAACGAGTGCTCTGGGTTGAATGATAAAGAAGGGTAGTTCTTTTAATTACCTCTGGTCTAATTTTGCTGCTTCAGATGTGTTTTCGAAATTCCAACCTTATTATAGCCGGAAAGGCTTGCATGTATAATATTTTCTATTGTGTGGATTCTTGATGTGCGAATTTTAATGTGTAGGTCAAGCTGATAAAGAAAATCACCGCTCAAGTTAAACTTCTTGCACAAGATGAAGATGAGAAACTTGCCATGACGAACTCTTTTTCTGTTCTTCCGCCTTATGACCAAGCCAAAGCCCTTGGTAAGACAAACATTGATGTTGCACGTATTGCTGCTGGATTGCCATGCGGAAGTGAAGGTTTTCTCTTGATGTTTGCTCGCTGGAAGAAGCTTGAGAAAGATTTGTATAATGAGCGAAAAGAGTATGTGTCAACCTCTGGAACGTAGTTTGCAAATTAAATTGTTGTCTTTTGGCACTATGTGGAAGCACATCCAGTGATTTTCTTGTCATTATTTAGAACATCAACTGTAAGAGTAGAATTTCACTATCTCTTACTTTCATGAGAATCCACTATGACTTAATGAGTTGTGGTTTTCCAGTCGGTTTGATATAACGCAAATTCCGGATGTCTATGATTCCTGCAAGTAAGTTGTCCTTTCATTGTTCCTTGTTGATTATTGTAATAACATACTTACGAGCATACTAAGCCTAATACCAAAGTTGTCCTGTAGACAATGTTCCATAGATGTCTGTATAAGTCGATAATATCTTTTAATCATATATACCGATTTGCTTGTTTCTTCTGATCTTCCCATCTGGATTTTGTTTCACATTGAATCATCTGCCGCCGAAAACTCTCCCCAACAATGCTGTTGACTTAATGACTTCAAAGCATGTGTGACATAATAGCAAACTGTTAATTATTGTATTTATTCACTAGCATGAAGGAGTGCTTGGGGCTAATGTTCCATTATAGCTTGTCAAATTATCTTATTTATATTCATTGGAATCTGGATTTTTTATCCCTATTTGATTCTTGATTATACTCCATTGAAATCATTTGGGTATCTGGTTGATCTAGATAACTTGTTCTTTGTTATGCAGATATGACCTACTACACAACGCACATCTAAATCTTGAGGGATTGGATGAACTCTTCAAAGTTGCACAGGTGTTTATCCTCTATGCATCTTAGTTCTGTGGTTACGATAACGAAATGTTATGAAGGCTTCTATGTATTAAATCTTGTCGTGCCCAAAGTTGTGATTACAAATATCGGGTTGATGTTTTAGATATTCTTATGTATTCGAATATTAAGAAGTCCATGTCAATGTTAACCAATGGTTGGATAGGAAATCTTTGGGAACTGTTCACACCAGGTCATAGGCCTGTCAGAATTCTGGTAGAACCATGAGGTCTTAAGTTGCTTTCCAATGTTACTGCTGGCTTCGGGTCTCCACTCTTTTATGGGGCCATCTAAGTCACCCTGTCCCTGTCTCTCTCTCTCTCTCTCTCTTCTTTTTTTTCCATTTTATTTTTCACATCGTTTATTTGTAGTACAAGGTGGTCACAAGTAATCTTGACCATTGGATGTGAAATTGGGTGGCTGCATTTATTTTATTAATGAAAGCTCAAAGTTCAAAAGAATTTTTTTTGAAGTTTGTAGCACTTTCAAGCTATCAGATTTCACGTCGGATGGTTATAACTAATTGTGATCTCCTTGTATCAAAGGTAAATGGTCTCATTGCATGTAATTCCTTTAGTTATTATTTTTGTTGATTCCATTTTTTGTTTTTTTTTTTTTAATTTGGTTGAAACCCTAACCCTATACAACCAAGAACTCAGGGGCCTATGATATCTCTGATGTGATTGCCTTGCACAAAAAGGCGATAATGTGAAATTTAACATTTCCAATTGCTAATCAAGGGCTATTTTCATATTCATTTTTCAGATGCTTGCAGATGGTGTCATTCCCAATGAGTATGGAATTAACCCAAAGCATAAGCTAAAAATCGGTTCGAAGGTACATATTGCATCACATTATATTGCAGAAACTTCGTATCATATTGCATATGGAAACAAATGAAATGTTCTATTCTGCTTTTAGTCTGATGACATCTTACTATTGAAAATAATATTTCAGTTCGTCAGTTTGGATTTTATCTTTTTGGGCTTTTTTAGTAATATAGCCCGGTTCGTTGGAACTTAGAAATTCTAGTTTTCTAGAAGCTGAAACTGTTGATTCTATAAGTTTTAGAGTATTTGTTTTGTAATCTATCTGGAAGTTCTTGTATATTGAGATTAGGCTTCAGAGTGATCTATCAAAGCTTCACAGGGATTGGCTCTTGCCTTCACTACTTCACGAAAAGAGAGAGAGAGAGAGAGAGAGAGAGAGAGAGAGAGAGAGGGTGGGGTAGTAGGGTTGGGGAGAGGGCTTAGAGAGAGAAAGAAAGGACAAGAGTGAAAAAGGACAGCCAAAGAAAGGGCACATTTAGAGAGACTAAGGGGTTACTTAGAGAGAGAAGGGAGCAAGAACTTAGTGAGAGAGCGAAAGGCCATGTTAGAGAAAGGAGTTAAAGGGACACTAGAGAGAGGAAGGGCACCTTTAGGGAGAGGAGTTAGAGAAAGAAAGGGAATGGTTAGAGAAAGAAAGGGAATGGTTAGAGAGAGAGGATTCAAAGAGTTAGAGAAAAGGCATGGTAAGAGAGAGCGTTTAGAGGGAGAAAGGGCATTGCTGGAGAGACAATGGATAGGGTTGGAGAGAGTTAGAGAGAAACGTGGTTTTATAGAGAGAAAATTAGAGAGAGAAATGTGGTAGAGAGATAGGATATATTTAGAGAGGGAAAGGATTAGAGAGTGACAAGACAATTAGAGAGAGGAGTTAGGGAGAGAAATGACATAGTTAGAGGTGATTTAAAAAGAGAAAGGACATGTTTAGAGAGAGAGAGAGAGAGAGAGAAGAAAAAGAGAGAGGTCACTGGAAACACAAAAAGGCCAGAGGCAAACTTCGTACAAAACTGGATAAACAAACTGCCATTGGGAGATTGACGCTGCATGTTCTCATTTTTTGAGAACCTGGAATTCCTTAAGCTTTTCCTATAGCACGTCTTATTAACAAAGAAGGAATTGTTAAAGTAAACTAAAACTCTCAGCTTTGGGAGCTGGAAGTTCCAATTACTAAATGTGCCCTTTGGGTTTGCACGAATTATGTACAATTATCTTCCTCAATGTACGATCCTATAAAAAGAGTTCTTTTTATTTTTCATTTGATTGATTGCATTTGTTGAACAAGTTACTACAGTTTGAGAAATAGATATGAAAGCATAACCAAATTTATAAGTAGATGCATGCGGGTGTTGTTACTCATGTTCGTCAAATTTGAAGTAAGAGAATCCTGCATATTTTTCTACCTTATTATTGTTTTTGTTTTGTGGCATGAACCAACACAACATTATTGGTTACATCATTAAATTGAATTAATTTTTTAAAAACTAAAACAAGACTGAATGAGTAGATTTGATATCCTTCTTATCCAACTAGGAGCACATTATTTAGATAGAATAAATAAACTTTCTCAATCTCCCTTATTGGCATGTACTAGCTTGTGAATGTGGCATTTATGTCCTATCTTTGATACGAACTGACCCATTTACCTCATGTCATATTTGGAACACTATTACAAAGCTCATATATTTTGACGCCATAAACCATAACACATTTATTATGGATGGGAAGCCTAAACATTTCACAAAGGCACAGGTTGCGTGGTTATAGAGTTATTCAAACTTTTGGTATTTTCAAATCACAGGCTCCTGCATTTATCTTATTAGCATAAGCTTGTTTCCTGCGATTATCTTATTAGCAAAAGCTTACTTTTGTTTTGTGGTGGCTAAGGAAATAATGGACATGCTATTCAAGCAGCCTTTAATGTTATATGAGCAAGCTTTTTAGATGGATTTCCTCCTCCTTACTCTCCTTCAGTGCCACTTTATCTTGGAATCCTGATGGAGGGAAAAATTATACATATTTTTAATTTCTACTCAACTGTAAAGGATGTATATTTTGATTTTAGTTTTAGGGTTTAATTCTAGGGTTTTTTTGTTTGTAGGAATTCTAGGGACTTCTTAGATATTTTAATTAAAGTTAGGGAGTTTAGTTTTAAGTTATACTTAAGTTAGGACTTTCAGAAGATTGAGTTTGGAGTATCTTACATGATTTCCAATGGGCGTTCACGAATAACTAAATTTGAGAAATTTGCATGGAATGCATATCAGGACCCATTTTTTGAGGAATTTTTTTACCTCAAGTAATATTTGAGCCGGCAAAGAAAAAGAAGGTTAAAGAAGGTGGTTTTGATGCTGAATTCATCGTAGAACACTTCAAAACTTGACGATGAGTTTTCTCCAACAAGGGGAGAATGATGGAGGGAAAAATTATATTTTTAGTATCTGTTCAATTTTAAAGGATGCATATTTTGATTTTAGTTTGAGGGTTTAATTCTAGGGTTTCTAGGAATTTTAGGGATTTTTTTGATATTTTAATTAAAGTTTGGGAGTTTAGTTTCAAGTTATATTTGTGTTAGGACCTTTTAGTCAAAAGTTAATTGTATGGACAAATATTGTCCAAAACAATAATTTTCGATTATATATAAGAGTATAAACGGGCTGGAGAATCATTCATGTATTTTTTTTTGAGAAAAGAAAGACTATGTCTTGTAAAAAAAGCCTAAGGCTTGAGCTCTTGGTGGGAGAAAACTTTAGGGTTTCTCCACAATTACTTATGTCAAGGTGCTTCTTGCTGATTTTACGATGTTTCTTCATGTTCTCCTACATCAAATCCAAATTCCATGTCATATGGTTCTTAAGCCACTGGCATTTACCTTTTAGTCATTTCCTGTTTCTGCAATGTTGGGATTATCTAATTACTTGTTCAAATTTATCAAAAATTGAACAATTATTCCTGATTCACCTCAATGCATAGATTATTTTGAAAATGGTGACAAAGAGGTTACAATTACTCATGTCTATCAGATTTCAAATCAGGTCATTGTAAGAGTACCATTGACTTGACTCAAAGTTCCCAAAAAAAGAAACTTCTCAATTTTTGTGACACACCCCAAGCCATCGAATTTGACATCTTATGTGTAGGAATATTTGTGACCTTGTAACAAAGATAAATGGTCTTACATTGTACGATCCCATATGTGTGTTATATATATATATGTGTGTCGGTGTGTGCGCATCTGTGTGTAATTATTAAAGTTGCTAATAATTCTAGAGTACTTACAAGAGGTGAGGATATGGCAGCCCACAAGCTAGCTGCTCGAATACAAAAGAGTAAGGAATAAATAGAAAGAAAAATATTGAAGGAATAAGTGGTTACACGCTTGTATAGTTATATGTCAAGGGTGAGGCAAAAAAGGGCGAAAGGAAAAGAGGGGGGAGGGCGGAATAGTAAGAGGGAGAGTAGGGGCTGTACAGAAGGAAATGGGGAAGTTTTCAGAGTGGATAGAAAACTTCAATATAGATAGGGATTCCACCAAAATAGTAAAGAGAAGGAGAAAAAAGAAGATGAGAAGATGCATAATAAAGCACAGAAAGAGAAGCAGATGATCGACTAAGAAAGGGGTAAGGGAGTAGTTAAAATAAAGACGGATGGGCCACTTGCACAGGTGGGCTATAACAAATGTACAAGAAAATAAAGCTAACAGAGAAGAAAGGAAAGCACTTGCCAAAGGAGTGCAAGATACCGAAAAATAAGTAGAGGTGAGCAACAAGTAGAGTGCTCAGCCATTGAGTATTTGGAGAGCAGTGACCACAAAATCAAGTGTAGGCCACCCATAAGTCAAGTGCTTAGTCATTTGAGGCAAGGGTAAGCTAGAGATGGTCCAAAACCTGAAATAACTTATAATACGCAGAAAAATAACTGAGGTGCAGAGCTAGAGAGAGGGAGAGAAAGAAGTGAAGCTTAGTGGGGGTGAGAGGGGCAACTACATGTTGGGTGCTTAAAGAGAATAAAAGTGACCGAGAAAAAGCCTTGGTAGGGGGGAGGAAATTGCGAGGGCACAATAGTGAAAAGAAAAGAAGAAATAGAGAAAAAGGAAGAGACATAAGAATAGAGGGGTAAGATATAGAGAAAAAGAGGTGGGGAGTGAAGAGAGAGAGTAATGATGAAAGATTGAGGAGAAAACCAAAAGAAAAAATAAAATCGTATGGTTGGAGATGGCCCCAAGATGGCAGTGCTTGCCGTGGCTAAAGCGTCGGCCTCTTCATGAGCCTCGTACCAATATGACAAAACCCTACTCAAAGTTTCTTGCATAGTTAAAACATATGGTAAAAAACACAATTGAGATGCCAAGGACACGTGACTCCTCTCTTCGCTATGTTGGCATTGTCTCTTTTCACTATAAGGTTATCTCCCCAACCAGGGTCAACCTTGTGAGGCCTTCGTGTAACGCACTAGCCTCTTCTTGGGTGGGATTACTTTAACCAAGGAATCCAGAAAAGGAAAAACTGGTTTTGTTGTCACGTTCTCTAAAGTGTAGCCAAAACTACAATGTCCCAGGTTTATGAGAGATTAACGATTGCAGTTTACCTTTATAGAGCCTTGGCATGATGGGGCCCACCAGGAGGTGTGAGTGGGCTAGGGATATTTATACTTGATTATTTTTCTCAAGGTGAGAAGAAGTCTGCTATGCTAATATGCTTTTTAAGATTTGAAGTTGGACACCCATAAAATACTGAAGTTGCGTGTGGCTTCTAAGATAGCCATAATCCAAATGGTTCAAAGAATTGCCACAATTGAAGCTCTCCAAATGAAGATCCCAATCTTGGGATATGGCAGGGAGGAGGTAAAGAGTTGGTCGACCCATTCAGGGGTCATCCCAGTCTTTGAGGGTCAATCCTAGAGAAAGGAAGTAGTAGAAAGAGGTGCCAGTGGGTCTCTTCTGAAATGGTACCAGGGACTCCACTCAAGTTCTACAAAATAAAAATATCTTTAATTCACTTACCAAATTGCTTACAA